TTATTTCCATCAATTTTTGTTTCATAGTTTAAAACACTTTTATTAGGTGCATAGACATTTTTAACTATAACATCTTCTTGATGAACTGAGCTCTTTACCATTACAAAATGTTCCATTTTTACCACTAATAACAGATCTTCTTAAAGTTTATTTTAATATTAAATATGGCCACTTGGGATTTTGTTTACTTAGTATTTGAATATTTTTTCCCATCCTTTCATTTTCACAGTATCTGTGTTACTGTATTTAAAGGAATCTCTTGTAAACAAGATGTTAGAACTTATTTTGTCTAATTTGAAAATCTTTACTTTTAAATTAGTCCCTTTACATTTATAGTACATATTGATACAGGCCTAAAATTTGCTATTTGTTTTATATCAGTCCCATCTGCTTTTTCTCTTCCCTTTCTCTGCCTTCTTTTGGGTTTACCAAAGATGTATGTATAGTTATAATAATTTTTACTTAAATAGGTATATATCTTTTAAAGAAATGAAGCAAAGAGAAAATATATAGTTTTAAAAATATACTTACCTACATACTATGTCCAGTGTATTTTATTCCTTCCTAAAAATCCAAGTTGCCATCTGGTGTTGTTTTCCTTCAGACTGAAAAACTTCCTTCCTTTCTGCTGTTTAGTACTTTATATCTTTAGTGCAGATTTGCTAGCAAACAATTTAATTGCCTGAAAATTTAACTGCCTTGAGTTTTTGAAGTATACTTTTGCTCTACATAGAATTGAGTTAACAGGGTTTATTTGCTTGTTTGTTTGTTTTTCTTTCAGTACTTTAATTATGTCGATTTCATTATCTTCATGCTACCACTTTTTAAAAAAATGAGAAATCAGCCAGCCTTCTAAGCAGTGCCCTCATGTGTAATGTGCTCTTTCCCAAGACTGCTCTTTCAAGATTTCCTCTTCCACTGCTTAACCTCACTGGTTTGACTATGATGTTCTCAGATATGGTTTTCTTTGTATTTACTTTACTTGGAAGTTCACTGAGCTTCCTGGATCCATAACTGTTTTATCAACCAGTTTAGAAAAATCTACGGTCACTATTTCTTCAAAATTTTTTTTTACATTTTCTTTCTTCTTTCTTTTTTTGGGACTCCGATTATACATGTTGGACCTCCAAAAATAGTGGTGATACATAATGCCTACCTATTTTTGAATAAATTCAACTTAAGTAAATTATATGATTGATCAATTTAGAATAGTTTCCATTAAAATTATCATGTATTTGCTGATGTCCTCTCTAAATACAGTATACTAGAACATTATCCATCAACTAATAAAAGCAAGAACTAATGTCTTTTAAGCATTTACTACATGCTAGGTACTTTTCTAAAGGCTTTACACACATTTTTCATTTGCTCCCCAGGACAACTGTAGGCACTACAATTTTCTTTATGTTACAGATGTGGGGACAGGCTTAAATAAGTCAAATAACTTACCCACAGTCACACAATTATGAAGTGGCATATGGAATTTTCACTTACAATTAACTGAATATTAAGTGCAGGAGACCGTTCCTGGCAATTACTATACAGAAGTAAATACAAGATACATGGAATTTCTACTCTAGTAAGAGAGACGATACTATCCTCATAATTTTCTATTTATTATTATAATTGCTAAGGAGAGCTTCAGTGTAAAGTGAAAGCATGAAAACCTAAGGCATGGCGTATATACAGAACATATGCTTTTGCAATTAGATAAATCTCTCTCACTCCATCGTGGTTTTCTAGACTAGCAATAAGATGTTGCTCAATTCAGAAACTTCCAGTGCAAATCGATACCTTAAACAGACTACCTCCTTCGCAGCCAGCTACACAGGTACCTAATCGCTCTAGTCATGCTGCAGCCCTGTTTTCCATCAGGGAGAGTCCCAGACTGGGATGCAAACAGTAGTCCATGGGGTCTTCCACAGAGGGATCCAGATCAATGCTAATCAAAATGTGATCCCATAACCAATGCTAGTCTGCAAACTGCTTACCAGTTTGCAACAAAATAGTACAGAATTGAGGGTATTTAGGAAACTTACAGCAAATTAGACTTGATGTTATTAAATTTAATTTTTCTAGCAATTCAATTACTTGTATTTTACAAAACAGTCTGCAACAAATTAGAAATTAAGGGGGAAAAAGGCTGGATCCTTATCATAGAGTCTGAGAACATTATTCTGAGCTATAGCATCTGGGGACAAGGTACTTATATTTTTGTGGCCCTCAGTTTTCTTACTGTAATTCAGAGTGGCAAAAGGTGAAACAAAATATATTTAAAGTGTCTAAGTGCAGAGCCCGACAAGTGGTAGGAATGGATCCCTTTCCTGTGTTTTATCATTACTAGGCCACCTATCATTATAGTGTGGTCCAGTAGTATAAGTAACAAGTAATATAAGTAACAAATTTAGATTTGAGAGAATAGAGAAATTCTGGTGATGCTATACCTAAAACTGGGACACTGATTCCAAGAGAGTTACTAGAATGCTAGAAGTTTACATAGCAACAAATTTAATTAAATATTGGGATGGAATTATATAAGGCACAGTTAAAAGAGTTCAAATACATATACCTAAAACAGAGATAGGAGAGTTGAGAAACAGAACAGTGGCAGATAAAAAAATATACACATATAAACAGTTGAAGACGAAAGAAAATACAGACTTTATTTAGTTTTGTGCAACTATGAGTAATGACATGAAAAGGGAAAAACTATCAGAAAATAGACCAAAATGCTGTGAGTAGTTGAGATCTATTAATTTCAGAAGAATCATGAAAGTTCAGTGAAAACGGGTCTGCACATTATTTCCATCTACAGACAGAAAGATAAAAAGTTAAACTAAAATAACTTTTGAAATATTAACTAATCAGCCATGTTTTCTACCCAGTGTGCTAATTTGTGCTTAATGCCAAAGATGTAAGAGTAGAATAAGATAAAGTCGCCCTGTCAAGGACTTGCAGTAGAATTTATTCCAAAATATATAAAACTCAATACATTTACTACTATTCGCAAAGTTAAGACTCTAAAGGAAGAGTAGTTGAGAGAATAGAGAAATTCACTTAAGAATCAGAATAATATAGCTAAGATTCAAAGAGAAGGTAAGACAGGTAAAGCAGGTTAAGAATACAAAATTCCCAAAAATCAAAGCTGGAGGGTGGTAAGCAGACTGACCTGACAAACATGAAATGGGATTGGTAAGAAGTACCACGAGCAAGAGGAACTTGCAATGCCAGGAAATGAAAAGTTCCTGGAGTTTCTTCAATAAAAATGACAGAAGAGAATAGTTTACAGGGAAAAAGAGCCCAAAAGTAGTCTGAAAGTAATTGTGTAAATTGAAGTAATTTAGCTGGCCTTTGCAAAAAAAGTCTGTTTTTTTAAAAAGCAAAGAATAATTTAATTAGAACACTCAAAATCTTTATGTATCGATGTCATACAGAAAGACTCAGGTGTTCAGCTTGCTTACTCCACACTGTATTGCTATACCTTTTTTCTCCCTTTCTTCCTACTAGAATTTGTTTTAATCTGGTTTATGACTTATTTTTCTAATCTGAGGTCTCATTATTCTTGTTTGCCTTCGTGGTACTCTCCAAAACCCTACTGAACTATCTAAAGCTTTCCATAATGTCACATGTGGATCACTTTGTACCTCAAATATCTAGTATAGTGCCACATACTAGTAAAATGGAGCAGAAAAGAAATTCAGATCAGTAACAACAGGAGACAGGAGTAGAAAAGAAGCTAAACAGAGTAGATCGACAGGGCCTTTAGAATAAAAAAAGTGCCACCCAGTGAGAAGCATTTAAGTCTCTTATACTACTCTGTCTCAGGAAAGATGGACAGCAGTGGCTCTCAATGGGCATTGCCCCATACAACAGAGGGTGTTTGGGAAATATCTGGGGTGGTTTCTGGTTATCTGAATGACTAGGGAATGCTGTGTGGGCACAGTAAAGGAATGCTTGATGTTTTGAAATAAAAGGAACAATCACAGACAAGAGAAAATTGTCCCCACTTGGTACAATTTTGAAATGTCCTGCACAACTCTGCCAATGCAAAAACCCAGCTTATAATCATCAAGCATAAAACTTAACTTTATTTTACATAAGAAGTTTTTGCAGTTTTGATACATTGTTTTATAAAAATGCAAATATCTCATAGATTAAACTTTTTTGGTTTGGAACTTTACTATGAGCTGCTCATCATCTTGTATCACAGAAAGCAATGTTCACAGATTTCAAATCACAGAAAGCAATGTTCTTCACAGATTTCAAATCACCAATATAATATGCCTCTAACAGTCTCATTTATGGCTTTTGTTCTATCTCTTTCGAGATTAATATCTCTCCTCTCAGAAAACAAACTTTCTTGCTACAGTGAAGACAACACTGGACTCACAGCAATGTTTGTCACTTAGCCTCAGTTTACTCATGTATAAAATGAATATGTACTCTACTTAGAGTGGATATAAGAAATAACTTGATAAAATAAATATGAAGTATCTTGTAAAATATCAAGTTCTGTATTTTACAATAGAAACAAACAATAAACTAGAAATGAAGTAGGAAAGAAAAGTCCTAAAAAAAAAGTCCTAAAAAAAGTCTCTGTCTCTAGTATGTTTATGAAATAACAGTAAAGAAACTTAATAGCTTATAGGCTTAATGATATTTAAACACTTAAACTCAAAACTTATGCTGCCCAGTATAGTAGTCATGCATTTGCTAAAGTGTAAAATACACACTAGATTTAAAGAACTTACCACAATTATATATGTAATTTACATACATGTATATAGTATATATGTATATAATTTACATATATGTATAGTTAAAAATAATTTCATTATTTTTTACTTTTTAAAATGTGCTAGTAAGTTTCAAATTAAACTTTTTCCTTACATTACATTTCTGACAGAGACTCTGCTCTTAATAAACAATGTAGAAATAAACTGATAAATAGCAAGCATACTGATCTTCAGCTTAGAAGACAATAAAGAATATACACTCACTTCATCAGTGAGTTCTCCAAACACTGTTATGACATCTATTAAAAGACTTGCAGTATAGAAGGACTTGATCATGTTTCTGGAAGAGAAAAGAGAGCTGGTCTAGTTTAAATGAAAAACATTAAGATGTAGAATTAGTCATATAGCTATAAGAAAAAAATTCCAATGTTTGTAAAAGCATTCTGAAATTAATATTTTAAGTAAAATCAGATTTTAACAACATAATAGAGCTCCTCTTACAATCTGTTATTAGGAAAAGTAACAACAATCCTATTACATGTAAATATGGTACAGTAAGGTTTTATAATCTTATAATCTTAGAAATAATAATTACAGTATTATCTAAATGCATATCAAGTCATGTACATTTCTTTGCATTTAGGCATAATAATGACAAATCATTTGAATTGGTGAGGTGGGAGTTTTTAAAATGAACACCATTGAATCAGGCTGTTTGCGGCTAAAACCAACTCTTAGATTTTCAGAAATGTTAATGAACAGCTAGTTAGGGTACATTCACTGAGAAAATGAATCCGCCCTAAGTAGTCTTCTTTCAGCTGTTTAAAAAGACAGGACTGTTCTTGATACTCAGAATTAATCTAAGAGTCTATAAGTAATTTTTTAAAAATCTAAATTATTACAGAAAGTCAGAAAGTGTTCAATGCAAAACTAGATAATTCTAGTTAAAGAGGAAGTAAACGTGTCATTTTTATTTTCCTCTTTCTTTACTTACTTGTGAAATCGCCCCGCCCGATCCTCATTATCTGCATACAAAAACATTTTCAAAGCATAATTCTCCAAGTGAGCAGAACCAACTATTTCTTGAGTAATAGCTTCATTATCACCCAACTGTTTCTTAAGCTAAAACAAAATCAGATAGAAAGCTTATGATTTTGAAGTTAATGGAAGAGTGTATGCTTAAGTACAAATTATCATAATATTCATTTTAAGTAAATTATTTTACATTTATTTCAGTAAAAGATGTATTGATGAAATCTTGCAAAAAAGAAAACTGCTGTCATAGCCAAAATATTTAAAACAAAATCCAAAACTCACAAAATTTTGAAGAAACAACTTATAAGATATAATATAGCTCCAAAAATAAAAACCAAGAGCAAAAAGATAACACATCCAAATATCTATTCTAAAGCATCACACAAATATTTCAAAATAATGTATTGCCCAATGTACTATCAGGTATCCTAAAAATGGTATTAGGAAATTCTTTCCTAACTTTATATAATTTAAATTTTTCATTTATTCCCATTTCAATTTCTTATCAAATGAAAAAATAAGACTAGAAATATCAATATATCCTAAAATAAGATCTCTCAGAGCATATTGTATAAAAAAAGAGACCTAATTCTAAGTAAGGTGTAAGATGACGAACCTAGAATTGAATTATTAAAGTTTTTAAAATTTAGACAAGCATATGGTTCAAATCAACACAATTTACAACTGTGTGAATTTCCAGTCAGTACAACCAATTTCTACATATATAATAATTTATAGTATTTAAAAAACAATAAACAAATAAAAAAACAATAAACAATAAACAGGATATTTCGTAAAATAAAGTAAATACTCTCATAATTACAAGAGAATAATTTAATGTCCAGAAGAGATGTAATGTGGGAATTTAGGAACATTTTTAGCTATGCTTATCCTGAACAAAAACTGAAAAAAAGCCCACATATAACAATAATTTACTGTATCCAAACTGTGAAATAATTTAATTCTAGATTTAATTTTAGAAAAAAATTAGTGAAAGTATGTTATTTCATCTTCAACATAAAATATCTGGCGGCAAAAAACATAATATACTAAAACTTTCCAACTGTAATATAAACATAGTATAGACAGATGTCTTCTCACCATGGAATACACTGATGAGTCCCTTTCTAAATGTGATTTTACATTTTGCTTATTATAAAGAACTGTTTGAGTTTTATGTTACTCAAAAGCTATTATTATTTACCTATTATTGTTATATTATAAAATTATGAGATATATTCTATATAAAATGTCTGTTAGAGATGGAATTTTACAAATATAACAGTATATATGTGTAAGACACATTCTTCCTCCTGTCCTCTAAACCTATGGTCCCAAAAAAAGTACTCAAATTTTTCTTGTATCCATAGAAGGAGTATTAGAAGTTGAAAGCCAGACAGACTCTAGAGACAGTTGCATTCCCATCAGAGGTGCCACAAGTACCTCCTTGGGTGGTTAATTGTAGCAGAGGACAGGGGCTCTGGGTCTGAAGGCCAGACACCTACACCAACTTAGGACACTACTGCCTGTGGCTGCTTAATACAATTAGGCTTGATATAAACAACTTGCAACATTTATAAATAACCTGTGAAACTAGACATGGTGTCCATAACCTGTGAAGTTCAAGATGACTCATTAGTCACCACCACATTTCTTCTAGCAGGGTAGAAAGCCTGGACCATAAATTAGCATCTTACCCTGCAACCAAGAGTGGGAGGAAGAGAGAAAAGGCAACTGATATCATTTCCTTCATTGTCTCTTTCACTAAATAAATAAGCCATTTCAATCATCCATAAGATTGTATGCAGGAAGATTAGAAAAGATTCATCACTTATGAATGGATGACTCAAAGGCCATCTACAATAATATGGAACAAGACATAATGGTATATGCACATATAATTGGACCTATTTTTAAATTCACTTATAACTAACTCCCTTAGCAGTATGATGTAAAAACAAACAAACAAACAAACAAAAACTGCATCTTTTTTTTTCTCAGCTATAATGACAACTGATTATATTATGGCATCTGATTGCTGCCAAAGGAAAAGACTAAAATGACAACACATACATACGTAAATGAAATAAAATGGCATTTTAAACATCAATCAGAAAATAAATTATCACTGTTTAACTTACAGCTTCTAACTGATCCATTAGCTTTGATAAAAATTTACGACACTCAGGAGTTTTACTATCAATCTTCATTCCAGTTTGCATCGCATATAAACGACCTACATAGAAAAGAAAAATAAGATTAATTTGAACAATTTCATTTTTTAACATCTTTATGACTAAGTGTTTAAAATGTTTTATCTAATAAATCACCCCAAATTTAAGTGAATTTAGGAATAACTTGGATTTACTATGAATCTTATTTACAAATATAAAGAACACAAAAATATTACTCAAAGAATACAAGAGATTCATGATGATTCACAAATTTCTTTTTACTAAGAAAGGCATTCTCTTTTGGCATGTTTATTTAAAAAAAAAGACTAACTCCTAAGCTGTCAAAGGGACCTGCAACTTAACTGGTAAGTCAGGGCACTCAGAAAAACAACCTACATGTACGAGAGCATGTGCCAAGTATCTAGTAAGTCATAGTGCTAAAATATACAATATGGGCTGGGATAGTGGGAAATGTGAATTGAGCTGAGGCTACTAAGTACTGTTTTAATCATTTTTATGTGTACAAATAAAAATAAACATACTTTCTCTAAAAAAAAAATTAACGAAAACATTAGAGATAAGGCTAAAGCTAAAGACCTCTCTAACATCACCATCCTAATAGCTTTTCCAATGATAAGAGCTGTGAACAGTTTGGTGGCAACTGTTATCACTAGTATGTACATGTATTGTCTGTAATTTATCTCTTACATTCAACAAAATGTTTTAGAGATCTGTTAGTGCTACAGTGCTCCACAGTATGGACACATCATTTAACTAAAGCGCATTTAGGTAGTTATCGGCTTTTCATTATCACAAATCATGCTGCCCTACCAAACCTTCCTGTGTACACATTCATAGGTTCCCCGAGGTAAATATCAAGAAGTGGAATTCCTGGGTTATAGCATATGTTCTTTTTTCACTTTGCGAGCTACTCTTAAACTGTCTTCCAAAACAGATTACTGTGCTAATATCCAGTTTTATCTCCTATATATCCAAGCACCTACTTCTCCCAAACTCACAAAAAGTTGATAGTAGTAAACTTCCTGTCAATCTCAGGGTTGAAAGTGGTATCTTACTATTTGATTTTGTATTTACTCGAGTACTAATACGTGTTAGATTTTTACTGGATAGCCCTCTATCCTCCTTTTTGAATTAGAAATTATCAAAATTAAAGAAAAAAAACTTCCACCAAATTTTCTATTGGGTTGTTTGCTTTTGTAACAAATTGGCCTGTGGCAGTTCTTTATACAGTATGGAGTAGGAACATAACATCTTCCCCTCAAATGGAATCTTGTAAACACTATCCCCATTCCCTGCTTTACTCTTCTTTCTCAGCAATGTAATCATCTTCTATTTATTTATCCTGTCTCTACTCCAACTAGAATTTAAACTCCATAATGACAGCAATTTTAATCTATTTAGTTTGCTGATGTATCCCTGGCATCTATGATAGTGCTTGGCCTTCGATAAACATTTTCTCAATAGATAAAATACATGAATGAAAGAACAGCTCATTTCATATGTTAGGTTTCCATGTGATAAAAGGACCCAATTCTGTATACTTTCTACTAGGTCTACTGCTGCCTTATTTACTAGAGCTTTAAACATGGCTTGGTATCTGTCACTTATCCTCAAGATTTCCAATTCAATTATGCATACGTGACCATATCTTCTTTAAAAATGTATTAATAGACAAATAATACATAGTTATTTATTCTACCTCTGTGTTTTTAATTTTAATAGCTTTATCTGAAGAAACTACCTTTTAATGCTTAGGCTTTTAGGGCTATCTCATGTTCCAGAGCTTGATGTGTAATTTATTAATGTATTTATTTCCATAAATCAAATTTAAGGGTTTAATCTATCTAGATACTAGCAAGAGAAAAAAAAAATTGGAGTTCCAAAAGTAGCATACAGATTTATACTGCCACACAGTGTAAAATATGGTGCTTTCATTTTTACTGCATATAGCCTGCATTGGATATCATTTTGACAAGAAAACAGACAGATGCTAATTTAAGAAGCAAAAAAAGCACTTTAGTTTAAATATTCATTGCTTTGATTACAAATGCGATCTGCATTTTCTCCTTTTAACTACTCATGTTTCTTTAGCAACTTGTCCAGATCCTTTCCCCAGTTGTCTATTAGGTTTTAATCGATCCCCTTCCCACGCCTTTTAACGCATGGTTGAACATCTTCTTTTTAAACCAGTGATTTTTGAGTTATTAAAGTTCTGTGCCAGAAAGTCTGCTTTGTTTCTTAAAATTGATTGAACTCTCAAGCACTCCTTCTTTGTGAGTTGTTAGGTCTTTTCTTCTAGCATTTTTGTTGCATTTATTAAAGTGTATCACGAGCTCTTTAGATAATAAATATATGGGCTGCAAATACTATGCTGTCTTTCAATTTCTGAATGTTGTTTTAAAAAAGGCTTTAAATATTTATGTACTCAAATCTATTATTTGAAATATTTTTCTCTATCAGTTCTAAGCTTTGAAAGTTCTTTTATCTCCAGGGACTTGATGTTGAGTTACACGATTTTTCTAGTTTTTCCCATGGGTTTCCAAATTTAACTCTTTAATTTCTCTCCCAATAGCACCTGTCTCAGAATCGATAAATACTCCTTCCTTTCTCTAATGATATGTGATTCCTTCCTTAATATGCATAGTCTCACTTTTTATACTTCTTGCCTATTTGATTTTGTTGAGCTCTCAGATCATACATCATCTCCTTATATAATAATATCTCTAACTGATAATATGCTTTTTCTTCTCCAAATTTAATCTTACCATGTCTTATTGTATTACCAAATTTTTCGGAAGACTTTTAAGTGTTATTGCTCTTATTTTCAGGAGAAAGGCTTTTAGTTAGGATTAAGGATTGTTAAGAGATAAAATAAAGCATATTAAAAATGTAGAGTGTATTTGAAAAAAAAATCAGTTCAAACAAGGCAGTACCAAACAAAAAGTGGTTAGGAGCACTTAGCACACAAGCCAGAGTAAAGACATATAAAGAAAGTGTGGAAGCAAAGAAATCATTTGACTGGCTATGGCGTAAAGCCTCATTGGCTGCCTGTGGTTGGTTGTCCTCAGCATTTTGATTTCTAACTGTGAGGTATTTACAAGCTGAGATTTCAGTTTGCTAACACAGTCACATCGACCAAATGCCTCTTTAATTAATTTAACAGGACCAATTCCATGCCAGTTTGCTCATATTTCCCCTAATAGAGTCACCATCCTAGCTATACTAAGGCTGAGGCCTTCCAGACCCATATGATCCCAGGAATTGATAAAACAATTGGCTGGAGTATGGGAAAAAAAATATTAGCATTTGTATTGATATTTTTATGTCTTTAAAATTTCTATTTTTATATTTTTCATCGTATATAGTATTAGTCCATCAATACACAAATGTAATTTATAAATAATTTATATATCGGAGATTTGTATTTTTTTTAACTCATGTGGATAGGTGATCAAAAGGTTAATTAGTACTCAGTGAATCGTCACTCCTCTCAACTATAAACTATATTTTCTTGTCCCCATCTAGCCCATGCCTCTCTCTCATGACCTCATTCCTTCTACTGTATTCCCTGGAACTACTGCTTCATAATCAGCAAACTCCCATACATCTCCTCAGATTCCTTCTCCTTTATCTTAACTCTGGATATCTCTTGAAGAAATCACGTTATTTACAATCCTCTAGAGTAGTGATTTTTAATTCTCTTTCACTCCTATCTCAGGATTGGCAAGTACAACTGGTTTTCACTTTGCATCCCACTGCTTCTTACATTCCAATATTATCTCAATGTCTTCTAAACATGCTGTTCTAGGACTCATGCCACCCTCTTCCACCTGATCTTGTTAATGCTTATAATCCATCGCCCATGGACCTTCGGGTCCTTCCTTATTCTTCCAACATCTTGGAAATTTCCCTTTTTACAAAGATAATAAACACTTGTGGCAGAGACTGCTAGCTGCCTTTCTACATCCATTCT